CTCTCTACTCCCAGTAGAAGCGGAGATATCGACGGAATGAAGACTGGATATCGACGGAGAAAGGTTGGAAAACTTTAACCTTCGATATCTCCTAAACGGTTAGAGATACAGGCTTCGGACAGGTACCAAATTAAAGCCCTTTCAAAACCCTACAATTTTGGACTACATGGACGACCCTCTACTCCCAGTAGAAGCGGAGATATCGACGGATGAAGGATGGATATCGACGGAGAAAGGTTGGAAAACTTTAACCTTCGATATCTCCTAAACGGTTAGAGATACAGGCTTCGGACAGGTACCAAATTAAAGCCCTTTCAAAACCCTACATTTTGCACTACATGGACGACTCTCTACTCCCAGTAGAAGCGGAGATATCGACGGAGAAAGGTTGGAAAACTTTAACCTTCGATATCTCCTAAACGGTTAGAGATACAGGCTTCGGACAGGTACCAAATTAAAGCCCTTTCAAAACCCTACATTTTGACTACATGGACGACTCTCTACTCCCAGTAGAAGCGGAGATATCGACGGAGAAAGGTTGGAAAACTTTAACCTTCGATATCTCCTAAACGGTTAGAGATACAGGCTTCGGACAGGTACCAAATTAAAGCCCTTTCAAAACCCTACATTTTGGACTACATGGACGACCCTCTACTCCCAGTAGAAGCGGAGATATCGACGGATGAAGGCTGGATATCGACGGAGAAAGGTTGGAAAACTTTAACCTTCGATATCTCCTAAACGGTTAGAGATACAGGCTTCGGACAGGTACCAAATTAAAGCCCTTTCAAAACCCTACATTTTGCACTACATGGACGACTTTCTACTCCCAGTAGAAGCGGAGATATCGACGGAGAAAGGTTGGAAAACTTTAACCTTCGATATCTCCTAAACGGTTAGAGATACAGGCTTCGGACAGGTACCAAATTAAAGCCCTTTCAAAACCCTACATTTTGGACTACATGGACGACCCTCTACTCCCAGTAGAAGCGGAGATATCGACGGATGAAGGATGGATATCGACGGAGAAAGGTTGGAAAACTTTAACCTTCGATATCTCCTAAACGGTTAGAGATACAGGCTTCGGACAGGTACCAAATTAAAGCCCTTTCAAAACCCTACATTTTGCACTACATGGACGACTCTCTACTCCCAGTAGAAGCGGAGATATCGACGGAGAAAGGTTGGAAAATTTTAACCTTCGATATCTCCTAAACGGTTAGAGATACAGGCTTCGGACAGGTACCAAATTAAAGCCCTTTCAAAACCCTACATTTTGGACTACATGGACGACCCTCTACTCCCAGTAGAAGCGGAGATATCGACGGATGAAGGATGGATATCGACGGAGAAAGGTTGGAAAACTTTAACCTTCGATATCTCCTAAACGGTTAGAGATACAGGCTTCGGACAGGTACCAAATTAAAGCCCTTTCAAAACCCTACATTTTGCACTACATGGACGACCCTCTACTCCCAGTAGAAGCGGAGATATCGACGGATGAAGGATGGATATCGACGGAGAAAGGTTGGAAAACTTTAACCTTCGATATCTCCTAAACGGTTAGAGATACAGGCTTCGGACAGGTACCAAATTAAAGCCCTTTCAAAACCCTACATTTTGCACTACATGGACGACTCTCTACTCCCAGTAGAAGCGGAGATATCGACGGAGAAAGGTTGGAAAACTTTAACCTTCGATATCTCCTAAACGGTTAGAGATACAGGCTTCGGACAGGTACCAAATTAAAGCCCTTTCAAAACCCTACATTTTGGACTACATGGACGACCCTCTACTCCCAGTAGAAGCGGAGATATCGACGGATGAAGGATGGATATCGACGGAGAAAGGTTGGAAAACTTTAACCTTCGATATCTCCTAAACGGTTAGAGATACAGGCTTCGGACAGGTACCAAATTAAAGCCCTTTCAAAACCCTACATTTTGGACTACATGGACGACTCTCTACTCCCAGTAGAAGCGGAGATATCGACGGATGAAGACTGGATATCGACGGAGAAAGGTTGGAAAACTTTAAACCTTCGATATCTCCTAAACGGTTAGAGATACAGGCTTCGGACAGGTACCAAATTAAAGCCCTTTCAAAACCCTACATTTTGCACTACATGGACGACTCTCTACTCCCAGTAGAAGCGGAGATATCGACGGAGAAAGGTTGGAAAACTTTAACCTTCGATATCTCCTAAACGGTTAGAGATACAGGCTTCGGACAGGTACCAAATTAAAGCCCTTTCAAAACCCTACATTTTGGACTACATGGACGACTCTCTACTCCCAGTAGAAGCGGAGATATCGACGGATGAAGGGTGGATATCGACGGAGAAAGGTTGGAAAACTTTAACCTTCGATATCTCCTAAACGGTTAGAGATACAGGCTTCGGACAGGTACCAAATTAAAGCCCTTTCAAAACCCTACATTTTGCACTACATGGACGACTCTCTACTCCCAGTAGAAGCGGAGATATCGACGGAGAAAGGTTGGAAAACTTTAACCTTCGATATCTCCTAAACGGTTAGAGATACAGGCTTCGGACAGGTACCAAATTAAAGCCCTTTCAAAACCCTACATTTTGGACTACATGGACGACCCTCTACTCCCAGTAGAAGCGGAGATATCGACGGATGAAGGATGGATATCGACGGAGAAAGGTTGGAAAACTTTAACCTTCGATATCTCCTAAACGGTTAGAGATACAGGCTTCGGACAGGTACCAAATTAAAGCCCTTTCAAAACCCTACATTTTGGACTACATGGACGACCTCTACTCCCAGTAGAAGCGGAGATATCGACGGATGAAGATGGATATCGACGGAGAAAGGTTGGAAAACTTTAACCTTCGATATCTCCTAAACGGTTAGAGATACAGGCTTCGGACAGGTACCAAATTAAAGCCCTTTCAAAACCCTACATTTTGCACTACATGGACGACTCTCTACTCCCAGTAGAAGCGGAGATATCGACGGAGAAAGGTTGGAAAACTTTAACCTTCGATATCTCCTAAACGGTTAGAGATACAGGCTTTGGACAGGTACCAAATTAAAGCCCTTTCAAAACCCTTCATTTTGGACTACATGGACGACTCTCTACTCCCAGTAGAAGCGGAGATATCGACGGATGAAGACTTGATATCGACGGAGAAAGGTTGGAAAACTTTAACCTTCGATATCTCCTAAACGGTTAGAGATACAGGCTTCGGGCAGGTACCAAATTAAAGCCCTTTCAAAACCCTTCATTTTGGACTACATGGACGATTCTCTACTCCCAGTAGAAGCGGAGATATCGACGGAGAAAGGTTGGAAAACTTTAACCTTCGATATCTCCTAAACGGTTAGAGATACAGGCTTCGAACAGGTACCAAATTAAAGCCCTTTCAAAACCCTACATTTTGCACTACATGGACGACTCTCTACTCCCAGTAGAAGCGGAGATATCGACGGAGAAAGGTTGGAAACCTTTAACCTTCCATATCTCCTAAACGGTTAGAGATACAGGCTTCGGACAGGTACCAAATTAAAGCCCTTTCAAAACCCTACATTTTGGACTACATGGACGACCCTCTACTCCCAGTAGAAGCGGAGATATCGACGGATGAAGGCTGGATATCGACGGAGAAAGGTTGGAAAACTTTAAACTTCGATATCTCCTAAACGGTTAGACATACAGGCCTGGTTCTGGCACCAAATTAAAGTCCTTTCAAAACCCTACATTTTCAACTACATGGCCGACTCTCTACTCCCAGTAGAAGCGGAGATATCGACGGAGGAAGGCTGGATATCGGCGGAGAAATGCTGGAAAACTTTAAACTTCGATATCTCCTAAACGGTTAGAGATACAGGCCTCGGCCTAGCACCAAATTGAAGTCCTCTCAAAACCCTAAATTTTCAACTACATGGACGACTCTCTACTCCTAGTAGAAGCGGAGATATCAACGGAGAAAGGTTGGAAAACTATAATCTTCGATATCTCCTAAACGGTTAGAGATACAGGCCTCGGTCTGGCATCAAATTAAAGTCCTTTCAAAACCCTACATTTTCGACTACATGGACGACTCTGTACTCCCAGTGGAAGCGGAGATATCGACGGAGAAAGGCTGGAAAACTTTAAACTTCGATATCTCCTAAACGGTTAGAGATACAGGCCTCGGTCTGACACCAAATTAAAGTCCTCTCAAAACCCTACATTTTCGACTACATTGGCGACTCTATACTCCCAGTAGAAGCGGATATATCAACGGAGAAATGTTGGAAAACATTAACCTTCGATATCTCCTAAACGACTCGAGAAACGGGCCTGTTTTTTGGCCACTATTGGCCTCAATATAGTAGAATAGTATCAGCCCTATTCTTACTCTGAATCTCGACTCTCAATTCCTAGTAGAAGCAGAGATATTAACGGTACAAGTTGAAAAATTTAACCTTCGATATTTTCTAAACTGTTCAGATACAGGAACGCGCCTTTGTCTCCTAAAAACGGTATGAGGCTTTTATGTTTGGCTCAACCCAATCTACCCTCACACTTCGGTCTGGCAGCTAATTACCGAACGCTTCGTATGATCTTCATGATATTAATCATACAAAATGTCAATTCTTTTTTATGCACATGTTAACATGTTAATTGATGTTATAAACGCGTAACAATGTGCGAAACCGCGCTTGTCAAGTACGCTTATGTACGCTAGTAAGGTTGTAGCACGGATAGAAACCGCCTGAGAATGAATGTAGCACAGATTGTCACTACATACAGGTTTTACCGCCGAAACCTGAAAATGGATGTAGCATCGTAGTTCTCCTCTCAAAATGGATAGATGGCGCACTTTGGCATTGCGGAAAGTCGGTGTCGCCGAAAACCCCGTGTTGGCGGCTCTCACGTTCCTCTCTGCTAATGGACATTTACCCAGGACTGACAATCTTTAACATTATCTCACCAGTGAAGTTGACGGCAGAAACATTCCTCTGGTTGCCTCTACTGCCGGAAGCGGAAATTCAATGTACTTGGAGTTGAGGCGAAGCGTACGCTTCCATTTTCTTGAGGCTTTTATTCCGAGCATAGAGCACGTGTTTGTCACTGCCGGTTGCTCTTCACGGCGTTTTTACGACACAGCACTCTCTTTGTTTCGCACGCACATTTTCGTTTTGTCGTTTCGGTCGAACGTTATCTCTGACGTTACTCCATAGGAATTGAATAAGGGTGCTAGGTTTCATTGCGCTTTGATTCTCCGCGGCAGCAGAGGTTAACACTATGAATCCCGAAAAACTGAAGAAATTGCAGGCCCAAGTACGAATCGGCGGCAAGGGTACACCTCGACGCAAGAAGAAGGTATGTCAGTAGCGATATTATTATGGCCCGTCAAACTGTAGGAATATAGATCGTTCATGTTGTTGGTTCTCTTCGACTTGAGATTGTATCGCCGTCATATCAGCACGATCATGCACATTGCTGCAAGTTTCTTCATCTTTTGTGTAGATATTCCTCTTTTTCAGAACTTGGCTTTGACATTATTTTAATATTTCATTGTGACATTCTTTTTTTATATATCACAATGAAATTTGTTTAATGAAGTTGAATTTGCGTTTTTGAGTTGCACGAGAGAATACGTTTACGAAAAAAGATTTACGTTTACAAAGTGTGTCGCGGTTTAATTTTGATTCATTTGAACACCCAACAATCGTCTGATGTTACTTAATTTAAGAATGATATATGTGTGAGTTGATCAAAAATAATTTCATCTTTGTGAGAGAACTATATTATAACTCGAGTGGAAGAGCTTGATCTCTTCTGGTTTATAATAAATTTCTAGTGACATTGGGAACATTCTTTTCCAAAAATGAATAATTAGATACTCTTAATCTATTCTTTTATTGCTTTTTCTGTCATTAATAAAAATAGATATAGTGAAATCAGTTTCTTAAAACTGCTTAGTTATGTATCTTTTATATATTTTTATATATTTTATGTATTTTGCTCCATATTTGCAAAATACACAGGTGTACTTGATAAATTGAGTTTTCTTTCATTTTATAAGAATTAAAGAATTGGATTGAAGTGCCTTAATAATAAAAACAATGTTTATCTGTTTCATGAAAATAAATCAATGAAAAATGAAATAATTTTGTGACTTATTGAAGCACTTATATTGTTTGATTATAAAATTTGTAATTTTATGAAAGTAATTTTTTTTAATGCTTCAGAGAACTTTAAGTATGTCTTCCTTGCATAGTTAATTATTCAATTCTTTATATAGTTAAGTAATTATATAATTGAAGTATCTTGTATTTGCAAAAAACAAAAAGAATTGGTAAGTGTTATGACATATTTACTGTTGATGATATAATATAATTGATCATTTCCAATTATTTTTGTATATGCACTCTGTTATCTTTTACCTTTATAGGTTGTACATGCAACTGCTGCCACAGATGATAAGAAACTACAAAGCTGCCTGAAAAAGCTGTCTGTAAATACGATTCCTGGCATAGAAGAAGTTAATATGATCAAGGATGATGGCACAGTCATTCATTTTAATAACCCAAAAGCCCAAGCCAGTTTATCTGCTAATACATTTGCTATTACTGGTCATGGTGAAAACAAACAGATCACTGAGATGTTGCCTGGAATACTAAGTCAACTTGGTCCTGAAGGTCTCACACAACTTAAACGATTAGCTAGTACAGTCGCTGGTAGTGCAGTTGGTAAAGCCACATTGGAGGAGGATGATGAGGTACCAGATTTGGTAGAAAACTTTGATGAAGCTAGCAAAGAAGAGGTAAGATTATAATTAGCCATCTCCTTTTGAAAAAAAGTTCATAAAGTTGAAATATATATATATTGAAATATATATTAGATACATTATACATGTACTTATAAAAGCAAGATAAACTGAGAATTTAAATTGAAAGATGAACTATAAACTGAATTATAAATTAATTAAATTCAGTTAAATTATGGAAGGAACCAATTACAGTATTTATAATAATAATTTTATATACACAGAAAGTCATTATTAAATTATAATTATTAAATATATTTATTATGTTATATTTCAAGGTTGCTCCAAAAAAAGAATTAAACGAGAACGACAAAGGAGCAGGTGATAAAAATGATACTATTGTCATTGAAGAAAAGAAAGAAGCACCGTTAGCTACGCCCGAAGCTTAAGGAGAGAATATTGAAGTAACTGATCGATAAACTAATCGATAAATCTTATCATACAGGGTGTCCAAAAAGCTCTGTAAATTTATAATAATAAGGTTATGTAATCTGCGAATTTGCTTTTCCCAGATGTTTCTCTCTCTCTCTCTCTCTCTCTTCTCTTGTCTTCTCTCAAGTACACGCGCACACACGTACATACACGACAAGCACGCGAGCGTGCATACACATACTTTAAGTATAGTTGGTAATTAACAAGTCAGCAAACGCAAAAGCAATGCGTAAATGAGGTATAACTATACATAAAAGTTGCAGATATGTGACATACTCTATGTACTTGCTATATGAGTAACAGTTAATGAGAAATAAAACAAGAAAAAGAACTGTTACAAACCTTGGATTTTTTTTTAAGATCCTTACTATTATTAAGATTTAAAGAAACAGATGAAGATGTTTGTTATCAATTTCATATCATATGTTTTATTTTGAGAAAATTATTAATTGATACGTTGTGTAAGTTTTGAAATGCATCTCTATTAAGCTCAATAAAATTTGTTTTTTAAGGGAAGATTCTTTCATGGACAAGATGCGTTCTAAAACTTATGCAAAATGTTATGGATAACATTTTGTCCACGATTTCGTCCGTCCTCAGATATCCAATAAGCGAATGTACTTTCTGGGGACAAATGTTGCTAGCTAAAAACCCTAGGAAACGAACTTATTGGATATTAGATTGTTGTTGCATTAAGTTCTACATTAAGCATCTATGTAACAATTGATACAACAACAATATAGTGTAATATTGTATAAATATTGGGTACGTTTAGTAACGGGAATGTATATAGTCGGTAAGCAAAAGATTCTCCGTAATTTTTATGAGTTTTGGAATATACTTGTCTAATCCAATGGGAGAATTTGTCTTCTAATGGGAGAAAATTCTAATTGGATAAGACGAATGCGTTCTAAAATTCACAATAAAATCTATAGATTTTTCTGTTTACAGTACACTGGTTAGCATTAATCTTTGAACACTTTCTATTAATAAATAGGATCACTAGAAATTTTTAATCACGCACATGATGATTAGGAAGTAAAGGTAATCGGGTGATATTAGATTTGAACAGATAAAATAAAATACCAAGTGATTCTTCATACTCACTCGCCATAATATTTATTTTAGAATGTTCGTAATCTGTCTCTCTTGATCTGTCTTTCCGATTCATAACTATGCACTAGCATGATTTGAGTTTTTAAGGTCATACATAAAAAGTTTACGGACTACTATGTACAGAGAAGATAATTGCGTTGTGCCAGAAAGTATTACATTTATTACAATTTGTTTGGTAGTTTGTCTATCTAAGGAAGTAATCGATTGTTACGCGCAAGGTACTGTCTTCTTCCTCCCTTCCTTTTTTGTTTCTGTTTGTATGTCACAAACTAGAAATTATTTATCTCAATATCACACGTCTGTCGTTTTTTTAAAGCGAAGATAACAAAATTATTCCGATATCAAAAATTTAACATAAATTCTGTAAGTTTCTAGTTGCATTTTAACGTTTGATAAATTTTTCAGGATATTTTGTGTGAATAAAAAAGAGCGGGCTTGATTCTTGAACGGACAAGTTATATTTAATTTTTAAGGTAATAAATAACTGCACTACATAAAAAATATGATATGCTCGTGAAGACATTGTGATAATGTTATAATAAATTTAATTTATTATAACATTATCACTTTAATTTTTAAAACATTATAAATTTAATTTTCTTGCAAGCCTAATTGTTAAAATATAAAATAAATTAAATAACGGCATTTTTATGTAGTATAAAAAAAATTTGAAGAGTTTTGAAAAATTCTTTTACGGGATACGTCATGAGTTAATTGTAATAAATTGGTAGAAAAAGAAAATGAAATTGTAGCAATCAGACCCACTCTCTTCTAAGCTTACACGCATGGAAAATTTACTAGGAAATTTTGAGTTATTACAATATGAGTTTCTAAATTAATATTGCAAAACGCGTTGACATATCAGTCCATATTCTCAGCGCGCGCTTAGCACTCAAGTTTTGGTATGTTTCTGATATACCACGTAATCTCAATTTCGCAAACTTACAATTGACAATAAACGTATCTGTTACATATATAAGTGGCTACCGCAACATAGACAATACAAAACTGCCGAAGAATGTTTAAAAGGCGTTCTACATTTTATACGCCTCAAATTCATTGGAAATTTATTCTCTCAATTTAAAAGAGAAACTTTTCTGAGAAACATCTAAATCTTTAAAATATCTTTCAAATATCATGTGACTTTTTTTGTCGTTTCAAAAACTAATTAATAGCGCTTTCTATTGAGCGGATTTCGATCGATCCGAGAGCTATTAATGACGTTATAAGCTCTGTCTGGTCTATCATAGCGCTTATAATGTCATTAATCGGCTCCGGACCGATCATAATCTGCTTGGTCGCAAAAACGCGGTGAGGTATTTGAAAGACGTCCGGTTGATGTTTCGGGAATTTAGAACATATTTGATTACTCATGCAATGTTAAATGCTTCGTTTTAATAGAAAATGATTAGACTTTTACATTTATTTACCACTAAATCTGGCACTAGATTGAGATATGAATACAGATTTTAGACTTTATGTTCTTGGGGATCGTTTCTACTCTCGAATGCGACTATGAAATGAAACTTTTCGATCAACACAATATTGCATTACCATATAATTGGGGGCGGGGGGAGGGGGTCTACAATTATTTTTTCTTTGTAAAGTTTATTACGTTGAGTCGTTATCGAGAGTGAAACTCGTGAGCGAACATTTGGTCTCGCTCTGTCGTTCAATGTATTAATGCACCTATACATTTATTCTTAAACATCGTATTGGCTAGGACGACATCGATGATGTTGCTTGTATCTTGTTATTGTGTATGCGTATACGTGCGTGATTTTGGGTGTGTGTGTATGTGTGTGTGTGTCATGTTTGTAGTGTGACATCTTAGTCACACTAAATCGAAAAAACATCGCCCTATTTCCATACTTGTTTTACATTTCAAATCTTTTTTACCGTTCAAATCCTTTTTATGCGCGCCCGCTGATTGTAGGATACATGTTTTCTTCAACCATGACCAGACGATGTTGCTATATTATGTACACCGAACATTTCGTTCTAATGAATAAGGAAATTCATTTTCTTCGCTTGCACGACACAACGTGTGTCTTGCATACATATAAGTACATATGTACTTTCGATTCTTGTCGGTCGATCCCTTAAGCGTATTAAGCCTTTTTGCTCGATGTACTTTCGTCGCGCTTTTTCATTTGCGTTTTCTTTTTTGGTCCAAAAATGTAACGAGCAATGTGGTATGAGGAATATTCTATATACTGCAATAGTTTATTCTACTTTCTTTTCTCCGCTTATTAACATTTCTGCCTTTTTTGTTAAATGTATCAAATTTTAAAATCAATTCAGTGGCAATGTGTGAAAGTAAACTTCAGATTGTTGAAAAATTTAACGTGCTGAAAAATTAAGGGCTCCACCGACGTACATTTTTTTTTTAAAGTTATGATATTTTTAACAGTTTTTTCCAACACATTCTGATACTTTAATATATTTTTGATTCAAGTCACATATAAATATAGGTCGTTTAGGAAACATCTAGGATTGTCTAGCTAGTGATAAGTCCTCACGTGATCAGGATGACGTGTAATGTATGAAATGTGTAGCATGTTCTCACGTTTGGAACATGGTTTGCTTTCTTCACGATTAAATTAATTAAATCTCTTTGTTCACGTAGATATCTATTGCCGTTAGTTGGAAAGATTTGTTTTAGCACCAATTATACAATATACTTATGTTTATATTCTTATGTACTCTTTCCATATACACATTACTGCATGTACAGCACGTAATACAACAGGCATATATGTTTCTCGTAACGCTACCGAGCATATATGTGTATACATAAAGCTCGTAAGATTAGAGCTTTTCTGTAGAGGAACGAACGATATTTTCCTAACCATCTTTTGTTCCATAAGATCGTTTTTATTTTTTCTCTCTCTCGCCTTCTATGCAATATCAATATCTGTTGGTATCAAGAAAACATTCGAAATTCCGAGGGCATGCTAGAATCGTATACATTATCGACCGAATGTTTTCATTCATTGTTTTTCTATACATTATGCATTAGTTGCATACAATTGTAAAAAAATTTATTTGAAAAGAAAAATAAATGCATTGCGATAAATAGAAGTGAGTTTCGATTTATAACGAAAATGGAAAAATTTATTTTGATAATTTTTGGCTCAATATAGCGTACTCTAGAGCTATTAACTCGTAATATTTAATTTTGAAGAAAGTTCTACAGTTTATACATATACATAAAGTGCAAGGGTCTTTCTGCCATATGGATAATATAAAAGAATACTGTGAAACTTTCCAAATCTAATTTTGAAGTCTATAATAGAAGAATAGTGAAAATAAAAATTTATTTATATGTATGCATATGCATTTTCCACTAACAGCATGATAAAATAGAGTGTTAAATTAACTAGATAAGTGGCGGCACATCACGCTGTCTTTCTTTCTCTTTTGTTGTATCGATATTAGTTATCGACATTTTTAGTTCCATTTAGATAGGAGCACTTGTTTATCGCAGCTCGATAACCGCTCCAGCACTTTTTTTTAATAGAAATGTTTTGTTAAAGAAAGAGAGTTATATAAAGAGAGAGAGAGAGAGCGAAAGAAAGAGAGAGAGAGAGAGCTGTGTAGAAAAATATTATATGTAATTAAATATTTGATTCGACAACATACGATGAGCAAACAATATTAACATTTACAGTTACATACACCCTTGAAAGAAATATTTATTTTATGGCTAGGTTGGCGTTATGAATAAAAAGAGGAGATGACTGTCTCTCATCTTATATTGTTCGTCTAATGCTTTCTATTTTTCGAGAATCGTTATTGGCTTTCTCTGAGTTCTGATTATATTAATTCAAGTTCTCTTTATGATGACTCTAAAGACGATAAAAGACAATTCTGCTTTATAGAAGAAGCATGTTTTCATCAGGCGTAGAAATTTGTAAGACATTGCACATTGACATGCAAACAGTTGATTAGAACAAATAGTTACATTATTTTCAGTTCATTGACAAATTTGGAACAATATTTAATTTAAAACAGTACTTGTGCATATTCTTTAACAAGAAAGAATCTTATTTGAATTACTTTCAGATTCATTTACTTTTGTCTAGAAATTGGTAATTATTAAGTAATTACTATCTCGAATACTATTCCAATATCCAAGTTTTCTTTTATACCAATTTTGATAAAAACAGAATTATTTATTAACCATCCTCTATTTGAACCATTTATTTTCCCCAATACTAGTATTGGCCTTGGCTTATCTCGGTGATCTGGCGCACTGGCGATTATCGCGATGTGTATTCGCGTGCCGCACGATCGTGAGCCGACTCGACTCGACTTGGCTCGCGGAAGCCAAGCCTGAGACGTTCAACCTGAGATTTTGCGTTGATTCCACGTTGATTTGGCTCCAATCAAAATCAAACTAGCTCTAACTACACCTAATGTCTTGCAAATTTCATTGCTGCCTCTCTCGCATGCAATTCTCTGAGCGATATCGAGGCAAAACCTGCTATCCATCCACCCACCCATTCAAAAACACATGACACACACATACACACAAACAAATATACATATTTACACATACACACACACACATACACGCGCGTGCGCGTTCCTTGCGTTTATTGATACGGTATATGCTTCTGCGAGGTACCTCGTACTTCATATAATGCATCTCGAACGGTGCGCTTCGGCACCTCATGTCGCTCTGCATAACTTGGATCAATGTTTCCGAAGGAATTTGCCTTCGCCTCGTTATCGCACTATCGTACAAGAACATGATTCGCATATTTGCAACGAAAATTGTCATGTTGCCAAAACAAACAGAAATTTGTTATTGCAAACGAAAGGCCACATAATTTATATTTTCCTAATGTGGAAACTTTCGCACTTGCTCTTATTTCACTTGTTTGCTAATATTTAACCAATCCGAGTTCAATATTTATTGTTTTATTTCATTAATATTTCCTATTCTATTGTGTCCTTTAATTGAGCAAAAAAAATATTTGTGAAAAAATTATAAAAATAATATAATATAGTTTCTCTGAAAAGTTATATAGTTTTGTAACCATGATAACGGCGAATTATCATACATTTTTGCAAACGAATTGCTTCGTTTTTTGAACAGAGACATCATTGGTAGCGTCGCAGCAGCACAAAGAAGGGATCGAGATGCATTAATGATTTTGCACAATCGGCCTCAATGTACGATATTTTATTTCTTTTTCTCATTTCCTGTAATTCAACGCAGTTAAATTGATTGTAAAATGGAGGTGAGTTTCTCGCGGAAAAACACATTCTTTCTCGTATCATCAATCACTGGAGTTTCAATGAAAGTTTTTTCGCCGTACTTTTTCTTGTTGTACAACAGCGACATGTAGCTATATAATCAGCTATATGCAAGATACTCAATAAATTATAATATATCGATGACAGAGAGTGATTCTTTAAAGACGAATAATTCGAAAGTATAAAATATTTTTTTATACGAGATTCTATCTTCGAGAAAATAGATTTTCCGAGGGAACAAAGTTTCTTATACAGGGTGTCTGATAATTATTGTACCAATATTCTCGCAGGTTATAGGCAGTGCAGGTATAGCGCGGTAAACTGAAGAGGAAAATCTTCTATCTTTTTACAAACTTGACAATACTTATTGAGCAATTAATTAAAGAGTATTAACTCTAATCAGTGCATAGAAAACGACAAGACTGAACTAGGTCTGGGCCTACCTACGTGTAGCCATGGTCTTTCAGGAGGATGCACCGAATCTGTTGAAAATCTGACAACAGCTGGCGGAAAGTGCCATTTCTAGATTCAGGATCATGCACGGTCTGCCGTTACTAGGAGATTGTCAACAGATTCGAGACATTTTTCTCCAGATCGTGTTTACAGAATTCGTACGGTACTTGGTACGGTAATCATTAGACACAGTGTATAAAAATTTTATTCTGCATTTTCTTGGTTTTGTATTTTCACGAGAAATTACCTTCTCTTCGGTTCCATTACAATTTTTATCGGGCACTCTATAAATATACAGTGCCATGAAATCTGTCTCTCTCTCTCTCTCTCTCTCTCTCTCTCTCTCTCTCTCTCTCTCTCTCTCTCTCTCTCTCTCCCTGTCTCTCTCTCGTTCTCCCTCTCCCTCTTTCATTTTATTCTAACCATGTCCAAGTTCAAGCGCTCCGGCTATCGACGTCACAACGCGATGACAATGTAGAAAATTCAATCTCGTCGTCTCGTTGGCGCCTTCGTGGAAAATAAAATCCGGCATTGCGGGGAACACGTTCTGCCGCTCTGATTGTCCTATGCAACGACTGTTGTTTGTGCGGTCGTTTGTCCATCAAAGTTGTGCGACGTTTGTGCGAGTCAATCAACTATGTCGGTCCCGGTTTATTGAATCGTTAGCTTCGCTCTACAGATTACCTCGGTTACGCCCATGATGTAGTTATAATAATTACAATCATGACGCAAATGACGTTTCTTCATCAATTTCGACATTGATATGTTCCCTGAAATTTATACGTGATTATATAGGCTGGTTTGGTTCACTCAATCGTTATACTCAGCCGCAACGCTTTTGCATCACGAATTTTTGTTGCTTCGTTAGAACGATGCGTTCTCGACGATGATTCCATTCTGTTGCGCGTTGATTGCGCTCTACCTCGAAACGTTCTTCCTTCTCAATCGTCGTTCTTAATTCGATTTCTCTCATGGTCGTTTATTTCAACGTAGCTTGTCAAATTCAACATCGGTCAACGGTCTTTTCTCTTCCTGCTGATGTGAGCATGCACCTCGAACGTGTCTTGGTCGATCGTATGCCTCGAGCAAATTGGGAATAAACATTTCCCTCGCGACTCGCACCTCGGAAAGTAATCGTAGCGTTGAAAATACAAAACCGAAAATCGAGGTTCAATAAACTACCGAATGTACAATCAAATATACAACAAACAGCATCACTTTGCAACGCGAGCGATCTTTACCCCTCGTCTCCTTTGAGATTCGTATCGCGCGACTCGGTCCACACTTTTGTCTCCTGCGTTCTAATCACACTGCTACCTTCAATTTAGGTTGAGATTGCCATGCTTCTCGAAGATAGAGTTTGCCTGTCAAGATCACAAACGATCAAGGAACCGTTCACAGGAGGATCTCTCTAAAAACGTTCTGCGATCAAACTGGCAGCCTCCCGGTCGTTTTGTTGAAACGACTGTCCTCGTCATCTCGTCGACAGCGTTCTCGTCGATCAGCGAGATAGAAACAGAGAAACTCGTCCCTTGAAGAATCACAGAAGGATCTCGTTAGGCGCTACGTGAAGTTGCTCGATGCAACACGACGACGGCGGTCTGTGTCGAATGTTACTGTGACGGTCCTCGACGGTCGCCTTCGAGGAACGTCTCTTCTCGGATCATAGGAAGCTTTCGTTCGGAGTGCCGGTTCCACAGGTGCCGGCGCCAGCGCCGGCGACGACGTCCATCGATTCGACAACGCCTTCGTGATAATCATCGAGGCGATCCGCGCTCTCCGCACTCTCGCCGGCTTTAATCTCGTAGTTGTTCACCGGGTCGCCATATTGGCTCTGGTAGAACTCCTCGCGCATCATGTGGTTGAGGGTGCCGCAGCGGAAGTAAAGGATCTCGCGGAACGGCTTACGGAAGTCGCGATTCAGGGTGGCGTAAATGATCGGGTTCAGCAGACTATTGCAATAGCCGAGCCAGAGAAAGAGGCTCGTAATGAAGGCAGGAATCGCGTCTGGGTCACTGAGGAACGGCCGTACCAGCGCCAGTACGAAGAATGGCAGCCAGCAGATAATGAAGGCGCTCATGATGATACCCAAGGTCGTGCTAGCCTTCCTCTCCTTCGCGAGGTTGAAGCGCAGCTTCTTCTGGTGCGGCGAATTCGTCACGCTGCATGTGCTGTTCAGATGATTGCGTACGATCGTCGTGGTTTGCCGCGTCGACGACGTCATCATCGACGGCGTCGTCGCAGTCGATAGAATCGGCCGCTCCACCTTCTGCAGCATCGGGCACTGAGACTCGTTGCTCTTGCGCGGTCCGCCGGCGAAGCATCGTACCGCGTGGCCGCTGCACTGTAACACATGTGTACAGTGCGTGTTTAATGTAAATACAGCGATATTGCTCCGAGAGGAAAAAGTGTAATGAACGGGAAAACACAGAGACGCCGCTTGGGAATAACGATCAGCGCGTTCAAGGTGAGGAATATCGCGAGAAAATTCCAGGATAAGAGAATCGTTGGAATCGGTGATAAAAGCATTTATACGGCGAAAGTACACATACCGACCCGAGTGGGAAAAAGGTCCAACTTGCGACAAACGCGAGGAGAAGGTTGGATTTTATTAGCTTTCGACTCAACACCGCCATCTACGGTCATTAACTTGTGATAATATATTTCTTTTTTATACAAAAGTTACGCAAGTTATGCACACACAATAAGACATTGTTCTGCCACGTAGCGCGCGATGTAAGAGAACATTGCGGTATTTTTAGAGCCTCGAGCTTCACAGAGTCTGTAATAGAAAAACAGTAAAAATAAACATTTCTTTATACATCGTGCGCGAATTTCCGCGCTAACGACAAGGTAGACGAAAATACTGATCTTAATTAAGCAAGATTGCCGACGCACATCACACTGTCATTCTCTTGACATATTGATTTTACTTATCGATATTTGTAGCTCCATCTAAACGGAGGCACTTTCTCATAAAAATTCAATAGCCATCTCAGCGGTTTTTTTTAAGACTTCAATTCGAATGCATTTCAGAATGAAACGTCGCGACTTCGAATTGTTCTGTCAGCGGCGATAAGTAAACAATACACTAATCTTCGTACGTGCCGCTGTCTGGCTTGTTTGTCGACGTTTCATCGAGTATACTGCATGTTACTTGCAAGAATATGCTATAGAGAAATGGGCACGTTCGCACACGCAATTTTAGATGTTTATAACTTGCATATTGACTTCTGAACAGTTGAGAATATAGCTGAAAATTACGAAAATGGAAATTGGTTTGTTTTCTTTCCCCGAGATACAAATATATTGCTCTGACTCACTGAAATTTTATATTAAACGTTGGAATATTACATCGAGAGCGTCGTTAAGTTTTCAGGCAGATTAAATATTGGTTAAATTGGAAATAATCTTTAATTTCAATCGCGATATCTGAACGCACAATTTAATATCATTTTTGTACAAGAGGAGATTTAAGTTGACGGTAAATATCGGAACATATTCCATGCAACTCATGGAATGCTCTGAGCAAAATATATCTACATTTACGACATTTTTTATGGAACACATCTCTCTCTCTCTCTCTCTCTCTCTCTCTCTCTCTCTCTCTCTCTCTCTCTCTCTCTTTCTCTCTCTCTCTCTCTCTCTCTCTCTTTCTTTCTCTGTCTCTCTCTCTCTCTCTCTCTCTCTCTCTCTCTCTCTCTCTCTCTCTCTAACTTTCGAAAAATTTCGAAACGATTTTAAACGATGTTTTAAATGATTCAAAGTTTTGAGTGAAATTTTACGAGATAGAGATTTTAGAGAAGAAAGAGAGAGAGAGAGAAAGAGAGAGTGAGAGAAAAGGGAGAGGAAAGTTCCACAACAAAAGATCGCTTTGACATTCGACGAATTTTCCACTTGTTTCTAATTTCATAATAGTCGTAAAAAAGCAAGTACGCTACTTGAAACTATTTAAATACATTCGTTGTTACAAAGACTCGTCAATTAAAGTAATTTATTACGAAATGAACTCCATTCGATTTTTTGCAACTAAACGAGTGCTTAGCAGTTTACTGCACGAAGCATTTTCTCGAATAAAATTGTAATACTTGACCGGAAGCCCGAATTTAGATATTTTTCTGTTTCAAAACATGGTCTTGTTTGAGGGAAGCTCGTTACATATTTAATCAGAGATTGTGGTTATAAAATAGGCGATCGATCAGGCTTCAGACATTTTTATATGTAAAAGTTTCATTTTTTGCTCTCGTTTTTCATGTGTCGCCTCTCTCAGAGCTGTCATTTTAATCGGTCAGCTGGTAATTTTGCGGACGTTACTTTAGTTTGAGAATATCTTCAGTATCATTCTCGCAACGATAGCATCTTTTAATGCAGTGAGAGAATAATTATTCTTAGGCAACGATAAGACATATTGAATCGTATATTGAGGCAAATATATAATGAGTTTTAGCTTCATTTGGATATTACTCAAAGTTAAAAATTCTCGAGTTTCTCTCTGTCTTGATTAGCAATTAATATGTAAAGATTCAAGATTTATAGGACATTTGGGATTTCAGAAACATCTTGGTTTCGAGTAAGATATGTTTCAAGCGATCCGAATCTTTTCGAGTGAAGACTTTTGAGATAGAGATTTGTCCATCACTACTTGTAGGTGAAGTAATTGGGAATCTTACCACTGTTAAATTATCCTGCGTGTCGGCACGTACCTCCGATCTCATCTATAACAAACATGTTTTAGGAGAACTTTCAGATAGGCAGAGATTCGGACAGTTCTTTGCACTACTGATTTGTGATATGATTCATGACGTTCGATATGATATAACAATGTAGGCGAAGGAATGGCCAAAGGAAGATGGAGAAAAGGAATTGCACATATACCTGTGAGATCAATGATCAACTGATATGTGTGTAGGTGTAGGTATGTGTGTGTGTGTGTGTGTCTTTTATGTGTACAGGGTCGGATGATTGATGTATAAGCCACTAATTTCGCGCGGACGATCCCTAAAGCTTGCGTAAATTAAATTGGGAATCTGACGACGCAATATTAGGATAAACCCATTATCTGCGCTAGCTCTGTACGCGCGAGCCATCGTATTGTGCGGCTTTGGCTGTTGTTGACATGCCTGATTAGATTTCTAGTGGCCGTCGAAAGTCTGCGACGTGATATCAGTACGGATTTTTTCTTGCATTAAGAGGAGGTTTGAGTGGGGCTGTTGAACTGCGATGAAAACACGCTCCTATTTAAACGGGGTTAAAATGCCAATAACTAAAGCGAATGCGTCAAAAGAACGGGAAGAGACAGCGTGACGTGTCGACGCTTGTCTACTTAAATCTAGTGCTCTGTTTTACCATAATCTTAATTGAAATCGCACATTCAACAACGTCAAAGATATTAAAATAAAATAGTGGAAAGTAAGGGATTACAAACGTTGCAAAATCGAGAATGGGACTCCACGGAGATGTGAAATCTACCGGAAAGAGATTCTTTGAATTCGCGAAACGTTGAAATCGATTCTCTCTTCGCGCGACGATCGCTTCTTTTATATGTGACAAGATAAATTGGTTAAGAGAATACATTTTGTTGATTTCGCTTTATCTTTATAAGTCGGTTGTCCACGTGCATTCACGTTGTAAATTAATAAACGACCGTGCACGCCTGTCGAGAATGCTACACGAAATTCTCGTTTTCCAATAAACATAGTTAATTAAAGGTTGACGTATAAATATATACGCATACGCATATTTCTCTTCGCATTCGTTAAAGCATACGTTATATTTCCCATTTCACTTTGTGCGTGTCCCCTGTTATTGTACATTAAAATTGATCACCGATAGTACATCGGAATGACTAATCGTGTCTTCAGCCGCTTTGCAATTATAATAAAATGCCATTAAATTTAAATTTGGTTCGACAAACTTTTGAATAAAACGACAAACATGTTATTGTGTCGTACAAATATATACGTATTACAAAATTATGTAACGTAGAATCGTGACGAATATAAAGCAGAATCGAGTATTCGTCGAAATGCATCTATCTTCTGTACGGATAAAGTATATTTTTTTCGTCTTTTTTTACTTTAAGGTTTTATCAAATATTTCTTCATTTACGCTCTGTACATACTATGCTATACATACACACACATATATGTATAAAATTTTTTATTGTAAATAAGTAATGTTATGAACGAGATATTGTTCCAGCTAGTAATTGAACCTGGATCCCAACTTTTTTATCGGAAAAAATTTCGCTAACATGATTATCAAAGCCGCGGTGATATTTCTCTCCCTCTCTCTCTCTCTCTCTCTCTCTCACTCAACACAATATCAGGTAGTTGAAAATTTTTATAGGTCACACTTAATTAAAAGCAATTGTAGGTCGTATAATAAAATTATTTATAAATTCATAGTCAATGTAACATAGGTTAAACACTGATGTAGAATGAGGCCCGTGACCGAAGCAATTACCTCGTTCCAGAACAAGGCAGTGCTTAATTCTGATTTGCGATCATTAAGTGTGTAATTAACGGCCGCCTGTTGTTAACCGAGAGATTTCCCGGCGTGGCGTGGTCGTGGTTGCTGGGTGCCGTGGTCTAAGCAAGCTGTTAATTTGTCGTACAAACGCGAAACGTAGTGGCGGCGTTTCCGACGTGTTGACGAGCGAGCCCATGGCAGGTGATTATTTATAAAATCGCGGCGACTGTTTGGAATAGCGCAAGTCTAGAGATTTTAGAGATTTTGCGTATAAGTATACAGATTATAAATTAATTCATTTTCGCATCAGTGATGTATCAGAGAACTTTGAAGATACAAAGCAAGCTTTGAAGGAAAGCTTTAATTTGGAGAGAACAAGAACCCGAGACCTTTGATATTTCTTCTCAAATGAAATGTAGATTTTCTTCTTTGCAGTTTTGCATACATTTTACTTTGGGTTCATCGATAATTTTTGGCTCCTCGTATTTTCGCGTGATTCGCGCGAATTTTATTTTTGACGTTTTCCGATAACTCAACCCTCCTCGTATTCAACGTTTCACTGTCGTTATATAAGGAACCATTCTCATCGTTTTCTCTCATCTTCGCGTGACAGGTCAGGGTTCGTGCCATTCGACGGCAGGGAAGAAGGAAGAGTGACGACAACAATGATGCTTATGTGGTGGGAGATGGATGAGTTAAACCCATTCATTTGTGACATAGATTAATATCTCCTTCGGCTCCGACCGAAAGTTTGTAAACGCGATGAAGCGTAGTGGATGATACAATAGTGAATGAATAAAATATAGCCATGACTACTATTGTCCAGCCGTGTTCTCAATCACCACGGTTCTCGATGAAGCGAGAAAGAGAGAAAGGAAAGGGCGGGAGAGTGACGGGTTCTATGAGTTTGATAGGTTTTTTGTGCTCTTGCGCGTTGCACGAAAGCGGCACTTGGCTGAGTATTTTAATAAAACGCGATCAGCGCGTTTGCCAGTAACGGAGGTTATAACCGGGTCAGGACTTTTCGCAACGTTCAATAACTGCGGCAAGCAGGAATGAAGTTTCCGCACGACGACGTCTTTTACAACGAATCGGATATAAAAGCGTCCGGGTGCGGACGGATCAGTTTGGGGTATAACACAATGACTCAATGAATGCGTACTCGGTTTACAGGAGAATTTTTTCGTATCCCCGTTGTTGATGCTTTATTTGATAATATTTTCGAGTAATAATATAACAACTTTCTCGTCTATTCTTCAACAGTTTGTGCGAAGTTATAAAGTATTTTATACGATTTCGTTTTGAATTATAACTAGGCAGACGCGTTTTTTATTATTATTCATAATATTTGATCTTTCAATTTCATCCCTCTATCTAATTGAAGATGTATCGCAAGAGTAATGTGTGAAATATAGAGAAATGAATTTCAGTGTCTCAGTGAAATATTCTCGAAAAGCTATTAAATGAACCACGTTCAGCGTTGAATCGTTAATAATATCCTCAACAACATCAACAACGAAGTTTCTCGTCGCACTCATCGTGGCATCAAGAGCGTAATTTAACTTTGCGTTTAACATACGAGACGGTACAAAGAGTGTCGCTGTTCAATCGAAAAGTTCGAGGTCAAGAGGTATTCGTGCACGACACCCGCGAGATAACAATAGCGTAGTGGCTTCGCATCGACGCCGTTGATTTCCTGATCGCTTCGTTGAAACCCATCGTTGTCGGATCATTATACAGGGCAATTCAATAGTAATGTTCGAAAATTCATAGGAGTATATTATAGTTTTGGATTAAATAAGCAGACCCAATAAATCCCAGGTGCTTTGTATTACACATAGATATAAGCCCTTTCAGATCACTGAGCTTAAGGTTACGGTTGGGCGCGGTCGACGTTTAGTGGCTGACCGTTTAATAAACGTTGTACATCGGTAACACGTGTACGGTATTTGTGATTCTTATAGACAGAGGGAGAATTTATCGAAGATAAAGGATTATATATTTAATATGAGTCTTTGTAGCTTAAGTGAAGAATATATAAAAAAACTGAATATATAAAATATATAAAGAACTGAATATATAAAAAGCTGAAGTATAGTTATATAATAAATTGAAATATAATTTGCTTATGTATGTAAATATGTGTGTGTAAATATAAATATAAATAAATAAATATACATGCATATATATTTGTGCTAGAAACATAAATCAGAAATAAAAATTTTTATGGTTCTTTTCTATATTTAATAAGATTTTTTTTCCAGATTCCATATTGTAAAATATTTTACTATGTGAGTTTTGTGGGTACTATTATTGAATCATCCTGTAAAGCTTCCCTGGCAGCATTTCGCGATCTGAAGACTCGAAAACTCTGTTGTACAGATGTGTACTAATTGGAAGCTGCCTCCTCTATTCAATATATCGGCACCATGCAATTGACATGTACGCTTTGATGTATTGTGTGTCATGTAACGGACGAGAAAATAAACGAGACTGCGAGCTATGGCTGATATAATAAACAGACATGCGTGATAGAACCCGTGCTGCTTTTTATTCATTTTATATTTTTCATTTATATTATTCTTTATTATTTATTTCCGTTTGTTCGTGATATATCGTGCGGTTGCAATGCGTTACAATACATTTTTTCCATTTTGCACGTGTTCGTGCGCATGTTACGCATTTTCGATATATTTTAATGTTTCGCAGTGTTTGCAACCGAGACCCATCCCTTTGTTATTCTCACGTGTCAATTATTCGTGCTGCATTTACATTTTGCGATTCGCTGATGCATACATGCTCTCGTGCATCGATTTATTTTTCTAAATCCGTAATATTGTAGCTATATATCAATTGAACTCTTCTTATAGACTCATTCGTATAATGACGGCTTTTGCTTAATATACATGTAACTGGTACGCTTTATCGAAATTATTTTTCTTTTCATCATGAGATACACGTACGTCTACGTATTAGCAAAAGTGTGCATTTAAATATACCAATCATATAGTATTAAAAATATTGCAGATATAGAGACCTGTAAGCGTTTTTTGTATAATTACTTTTCTTTCTTTTCTTCGCTTTTCTTCGCGTTTTATCCTTAAAAAAAGATTAAGCATCTCCTTCCTTCTCTCTCTCTCTTTCTCTTTCTCTCTCTCTCTTTCTCTCTCTCTCTCTCTCTCTCTCTCTCTTTCTTTTATTACAGATGCATACCTTCCTGTTTGTGAGGTTTACCGATGAACTA